TCCAATTCAGGTATCAACAGCAAGATTTTACCAGTGCAGGACACCTGTTTCCTGAGTTTCCCAAAGAGAACATGGTAAAAGCAGATGCTGCATTTAGTTCCATCCAGACTCTTCTTCCACTTTTTGAACCAAAATGTGGATCATGTGATTCATGATCTTCCACTGCTGAGAAAGATGTATTTTGCCAACCACCTCTCCAGATTCAGATGCTCCCTGGAGAATAAGGCCTTACAGCTTTGGATTTTGCCTGTTTTACAGTTTTGTGGCCCAATCAGAAGTGGTCCTTCTGGTATTCTTAAAAAGAACTAAGTCTTACCTGAAAATGACAGCCAGGCTGGGTTGGACCAAAGAGCTATCTCATACTTTTTTTTGTCTCTGACTGTGCCCAGTAACAGATGCTCTGAAGGAAGAATATAACTTTAGGCAGGCATTTACTGATACTCTCCCCCTCCTTAGCGATTTGTAGCTCAGTGAATTCCTGAGTCAAAGTGATACTTGTGAAAGAAACTAGTCTATGACTGAAATAAGTATCAATTGCTAGGAATCACTTTTTCACCTGCAAGCTTCTAGAGATGACTAGTCATACAAGGCCTGGGAGGTGCAGTCCATTCCGTTTTCAGTCCCTTCACAACTAAAGCTATAGCATACAGGGCACAGATAACTCAGAATTTTAAGCTCATGTACCAGCTCTAGTATTTAGGTGGCTGTTAAGTATATTGAATGCTATCTTTACATTAGCAAGAGCATATATATATATATATATATATATCCAAAATATATGGATACAAAGCACCTCAATTACCAGAGCTGAATTTGGTAACACTCCTCCAAAAGATTCAGGGGTTTTGCTGTGTTTTGCCTTGTTGCTATTGCAGCACTTACAGATTTTTAAGAGGTAGAATTGGATGGTACAGAGAGAAAACTTAATAAGTAGCCACCAGGAAAGCGGTGAATCCAGCCTTTGCCAGTTCCTTCAGATCAGTCAAATTGCTCAGTTACATGAGACCTTTCTTGGCAAAGGTCTCCTTCTTACTTGTCTGGAGCAGAAAATAAGTTAAAATGAGATTTATTTTTTTTTTTTCCCTTGAGAACTGACCATTTCTGTAAAGTAATGCAGTCACAAACCTCAGTGGTAAAGTGATAAATGGGCTTAAGGCAGACGTAGCTTTATTAGAAATTTTTTCACTTTGGGTTTAGTAGATTTTATTACTGAAATATTAGAAATCTAGGATTTCTATGGAGAAACCCAAACCTGTCTAGGATGTGCCATGATTGCTTGAAAAGACCGAAGTCCACTAGGTGGCACAAAAACACCATGTAAAAGCCAGGAGCAAGCCAGGGGTGCCTACCTCCCACTCAACATCTTTATGCATTTATCCAGAGCAAATGGGTACTGGTAAAGATTGCAGACATAGCTATAGTCCAGCAACCCACCCAACTCTTTTCAAATAAAAACAAGCTCAGATGCCAACATGTTCCTTTGGACTTAGAAGCTCAAAGAACTCAAAGAACATCTCTCTCAAAAGCAGTATCTGCTCCTGCAGACCTTGACTGACTCACAGCTGACTAATCACACTGAAATTAATTTCTGTGTTTTTGTTCATGAAAATACAGCTGTCTCTGCCCAGGAGTACTAAAACTGAGAAGAAGCCACTGACATTCTCATTTTTCCCACTTTCTTCAAATTGCTATTTTGCCATTTTAGTTAGTTTAACTCCTGCACCATCACCTTGAAATGGTAAAGGACACACCCCTGACAATGCTGGTGAGGCAGCTCTGCTTGGGTGATGTTGAGCTAGCAGCAGACACAGGTGGGATAGGCAACTACTGTAATAAATTCCAAAACTCACTTGAGCTCTGTTGTAGATAAATCTAAATATGGAGATAAAACAATGGTAATTATTTTTATACTTGTAATTTTTCAAAAGTCAAATATCATAATATAGATAATAAGAGTCAATGTCACCACAGCCGGATAAGTACATACCTGATCCCATTGCTGTGTGGAACTGTAGGAAAGTTTCCCACAGTCACAAAATTGTTGCCCCTCTGAAGACTGCCTAGTCCAACCCTTGCTCAAAGAAGGGTCATCTGCAGCAGGCTGTCCAGGACTGCCCCTCAGTGGGTTTTGAATACCTCTGTGGATGGAGACTCCACAACCACTCTGGGCAGCGTGTTGCACTGTTTGACCACCCTCACGGGACAAAAATATTTCTTATGCTTAAATGGAATTCCCTGTATTTCGATTTGTGCCCATTGTCTTGTAACTCCCCTGAGTACAATTGAGAAGAGACTTTTTATTCCCACTCCTACCCACAGTTATTTATGTATATGGAGATGTTCCTTCCCTCAATATTTCTTTTCTCAAGGCTGAGTAACCCCAGCTTGCTCAGACCCTTCTCTTGTGAGAGATGCTCCAATCCCTTATCATCTTTGGGGCTCTTTGCTGGACTTGCAAGAATGTCCATGTCCACATTGTATTGGGAGCTTTATGGAAGACATCGTGTGTTGGGGTTACCTTGGCCACGCCATGTCTGCTGTCCATATGCTGGAATGGGCTGCCACTGTGCAGGGAACCTGCCAGAGTGTCCCATGCTGGTTCTGCTGTGTGTTGGTGGGTGTTGTGGCAGAGGTAACATTGCAGCCTGACAGAAGACAGATGAGTTCTTTGCCTTTGTGGCTGAAACACTGCATTAATACACCAGCCACTGATAATACTCCAGTGTTTCAGCTATTGCTGATCAGTGCTTGCACAGCATCAAGGCTTCCTCTCCCCCTTATCATTTACACTGGAGGATGAATGGTCCAGGAATTAATACTGCTGCAGCTATTATGATCTTTGTGTGACCCATGAAGGGTCAGAGGATGAAATGAAACTGCAATATCTGTATACACAAAATTATAAGACCAGGGTACCAAAACCACATACCACTGGTTTCTTACGCTGTTAAAAAAGAAAAAGTATAAAGTTCTGTGCCAAGGAATGATTTAAAAAAAAAAAAACCAAAACAAAAGTCTGCAGTCCTATACAGTCATTTAGGAATAATAGCTTTTGTTTAATTGAGCAATTTAGGTTTTCATACATTGAAAAAACCTGTCCTTTTATTATCTCTAGTTGCCCCTGCTTCTGACAATAGACTTTGTTTTGTAGAAAAACAGCCCCAATGATTATTAGTTCACCTTTATTATTTTTCTGAAGTTATTTTCCCCCCCTCCCTAGCTGCAGATAACAAAAGACAGATAACTTGAGTATACAGTTTTCCCTTAATTTCATGTCTGCCACACTCTCAACTCACCCCATCTGAGGACTACAACAGTTCATTAGGCTCCCTTTGTGCTTTTGATCTTCCAGAAAGTGAGGACTGCACAGAAGCTTTTTGGAGCAGAGTCCAGAGAGTCACATGAACATCCTGACTCACATAAGGCTTGTTTCATACATGACATATACAGCAGTTCACGGATTTAAATCTTCTCCAAATTTGTGCTTGTTTTCTACTTCATGAAATGAAATACTTGATGTTAAAGCAAGGTTGTATAAAATTTACTTTTGTTTTCTTCTAGTTGCTTACATGTATATAAAATAATAGTAACAAGAAGGCAAAATGACAGCTATACTACACTCTGAATATTAGTAACGTTTTAATATTAGAAATCTGCACAGGCTTTGGTCACCAAAATGATACCATTTTTATTATAATAGCTGTGCAATTCTTCATAATTTATATCCATGTAGGAATTACTATTAATTGAAGTGTTATGGTTTTAATTGTAATGTCAAAATATACATTTTTTGGTAAGATGAAATATACTGTTTTCAATACAATGGAACACTTGCTTTTTTAATAACTCAGATTCCAGTTTAAGAGGGTTTATATACAAAATAAGATATTTAAAAGTCACCACTGAAGACATTAAGAGCAGAACATGAGTTTTCTCCTTCTTACTGAACCACTTCAGCCTGAATAATTAACGCCAATTAGCATCAGTGGCAACTACTGACTTAATTACAAACAGTATTCGTACATAAGTAACATTTAGAGATGACAAATTCCCCATTCCTGTAACTGGCAAATGAAAGACCTAGAAAATAAAATGTATGAGATGGACTCACTATGAATATATAGTTCCTTCCATGGCTCAGAAACCTAAAGCAATACAAGTATTTTCAGGTATTTCTGAACGGGTGTTCTACGTTGGCTTTAAGTAATAAAATTTAATATATATGACACAATATTTCCAGTTAACACAACATTCTTCATAATTTCTAAGTGTAACAATTTTAGTGCAAAATAGACAAAATCTAAGAGCAAAAAAAGGATTTTTTTCCATGTTATTTAATATGTGGCTTACACTTCAGAGATGCTTGTAATGTTAGCTGGTAACCACAGTTTTTTATTGAACATGAGGCAAGCAGAACACTACCTGTTGGCCAGTACAAGGATGTGCAGCAATGCATCCTCCCATTTCTAGTCCTCTCTATAAGTCCTATGAATACACAACATGTCAAGCTGATGGTGTGTAATTATTAGAAAACAATATTAGATACAATATACAATTATTTGCATAGATGGACGCTAAGAATATATCCTAAGATTGTGATCACTAATCGCATCTTACTTCAAAGCCCAAGTTTGAAATGCTCCCCTGCTAAATACACCAGATATTTTAAAGATTAGTTCTCACTTCATTTACCTAATATGTATGTCACAACATAAAGTCCTGTGTCACCTCTCCAACAGCTTGAGCTTAACTGTGCAAAGGATTCCAGGTGTCGCTCTGAACTTTTAAAACTAACATTTGAAAAATATCAGCAGGTACGATTCAAAAGTTTGAATATAAAATACTTTAGAATTTTATAATATTTAAAGTATTTCAATACGTCTTTAAGATGTAATTTTTCTCTTCACTTTTTACTTAATATGGGGATATTTAAAATGCAATTTCACACAAAGATGAAACAAAAGGAGACAAATTAGTTGACAAAAAGTAATAGAGGCTTAATATTTTTATTAAGAAAAAGTAAACAAAATACATTCACAAAATAGATAATCAATACTTTTAAATACCATGAAGTATGATCTGTAAACAGAAAACACTTGTTAGAAGCTTAAATATAGGAATTCATCACGGGTATAAAACATACACTGGCTCAGCACTTGTAAGACAATTGTGGATGTTATTCTGTTAGCTCATATTAAGATGAATGAAGTTCTGCAATCACATGAGATAAGCAAACAAATAAAACAGTAAAATAAAAACAAGAGATTGTCAAATCAAGTACTCATTTCCTTCTTATAATTATTATGTTTCCAAAGTTGTAACAAAACTTAGTCAGGCTTGATACAAAACCTGTCAAACAGCCAGCAAAAAACATCCCCGCCAGTTGGGAAAGCAGAATTTTGCAAAGTTGATTATTTCACCCTTTCTCAGAGATTTCAAAGGTAATCACTGATTTGAAAAAAACAGAGGTAGAATACAAGATAGTCTTCATAATTAAAAAAAAAAAAAGTCTTTATAACAAGGTAATGCTTCAGTTGCTTAAGTACTGGTTATTCCTTGAAGCTCACATTTCTGGTGGAGAAAGAAAAAATGTCAAAATAAAGTTAACTACTTTATTTTACTAATTAATATTAGGATAAATTGTAACAATTAGTTTTAGCTTCCTCATATTCTCTTCTGTTATTCCTAAATATCAACTATTATCATATTATCTAAAACTCTGCATTCAGTTCATTGATTCATTTCTCAAAGCAGAAGGGAGACAAGGAGGAAGAGAAAATTTCTTGAGAAGATGAAATCAGATTAGAGAAAGAGACAGTTGTAACACAACAGAACAGTAATTACAAAATACACTTTACTGTGGTAAGCTCCCAAGAAGAAATAACTAAGCAGGATGAAAGATGGTGACAGTACTGTTGAGATCATTCTACCGTAATGACCCACTGATAGATTTAAAAGGTAAGACATACATAACAACTGCATGTGAATTCAGTTGTTAAAAACCACTTTCTTTAAATATATATACTTAATGAAAATGGGATATTTTCTGATAAGATATGGTACAGAGCTGTCATTGTTAAAGTTAAGAATGCCAATATTAGGACAAAAATAGTGCACTACATTGTATTCTTCAAGTACAGCAACTGGACTTTTTATTGCTCTCAGGACTCACTATAACACAAGGAAGACTACAGACAACTCTTTACTGATGATACTCTTTCTCAAAAATATATTATCTGTCATCATCTCAGTTAAAATGTTGATTTGCAACATTACAGGGTGCACCTAACGGCTCACCAGTAAACCAAGAGTCGTAACTGCTGTTTCATCCCCACTGACAACATCACTTTTGCTAGTTTGCATTTTTTGCTTTGCCCAAAAACTCACAGAAGAGAAAAAATGCTGACAATGTGGGTTTATGCCATGCTGACCTCAGTTCTCAAGAAACCTGTGTTTTTGTTAACAAAAGTAAGCTCATGAACAAGCCATATGTATTTATCAACAAAAATAAACTTCAAAATCTGTCTGATTCATGAGCTGTTACAGCACATCTATTTCTTACAACAATAACTGTTTACCTCTCCCTGTCCTTCCTCTTCACTGCAATTTATTATGCAATATAGGACAGGCAGGATATAACACCAATAACCAGGCCTGTAAAATAAAACTGACAAAATCTAAAACAACGACCTCTAAAAGAACAAAAATGTCAGTGAAAATGAACAGGTGAGAGGCTGATTTTGATTTCCTTTTTATGGACTCTAGTAATCACGATCTTAGACATTCATAGATTCAAGCACTAACAATGCATTCATTATTTTTATGCACTTGTTTTGGAAATAGTTTTATCTAATGCATAATGTTCAAATGCATTTTAGTTGGACTCTCTTCTGTGGAGTGTTTGTCCCTCATTGCTGTACTTGAATTTCACAACTTTTCTCTCAATACAAACCATTTATTCTTTGGAGATAACTGTTAAGAATAATAAACTGGCAAAATATATTTGGATATAAGTAATGGCAACAATAAGCAGGCAATACAAGCAGCTGTCAGCTTGTGCAAGACCATTAACAGGAATAGGAATGAGAATCCATTTATTATATGGTCTTTGGAGAGTACTTTGCATCTACTGTTTTTAATCAACTTTTTATAGTAGGAGAGACAGCAAAAGCAGAACTTAGAAACACTTGAAGTACATAACAATTTCAAATCATTAGAATGGTTTTATTTAGAAACAATTTAAACTTAACTCTTAAACTGAACCAATCTGCTAAAATCAAATCACTTACTTCTCAGCTGATGCCTGCTCAGTTGTCCTTACAACGCTCCGTTCAGGAGAACGTGAGGGAGACCTGAACGTTGAACTGAGAGGAGGCGAAGCGCGTAACGATGATGTAGAGAGACCGTGTCGGCGCATTTCCTGAATTGCACGTTCTCTGCCAACAAACAGCAATTTTAGTTACACAGCACTTAGGGACTGCACCATGTTAAAAGCAAGGAAACGTAACTTTTCTCTGTATTTTTACTTGGTGATTTTTCGCAATACTTTACAGTAAGTTTTGTTTTCTTGTAAAGTTACTCAATTTTATTCTTGTTTTCATGAGAAGGAATTGTTTTACTTTTAAAGGCAGTGGTTAACATAAAATTTACAAGAAAATTCAGAAACTGTATAAGATTTTTCTTTTTAATTAAGCAGTTTTCAAGATGAGCATATTACATTTTGCACAGCAAGAGGAATAGAGTCTTCCATAAAAGTTTCTCACTATTGAAAAAAAACAAGTTCTAAAAGTGAGAAAGAAAAAATGAGAAGAGTCAACTCACTGAAAAAGCAGCATCTTACCGTTCAAATCGCTCAGTTGTCAGTTGTCTTTTTAAAACATCACAGTCAGTCTGCAGCTGTGCAGCTTTACTTCGAAGCATGGAAACCTCTCTATTATGGCTGCTTCTAAAAAAAAAAAAAATCACGAGAAGCAACAAAGTTTTCTTTGAACACCATCAGCTAGGAGCTTAGACAATTTAGAGCAAGATAAAACAAAACCAGATACTAAACATGTTGCTTCACACAGACCAAATCAAAGACAAATTAGAAGCAAGAAAGCAAGAACCAAGTGAATGTAACACAATGTTTCCAGAAGAAGTAAGGTGAGAATGAAGTGAGAAGCTGTCACTACATCCTAACTACATTGTGTTCTTTTTCAGACAAAGGTAAACACAGACATATTTTATAAAAACAGACAAAACAATTAAAACATTAATTTATTGATTCACTACCCTCTTTTGCATGTGAGATGATCTTTACGTGTACATTTAAAAAAAAAAGGAAGAAAAAAGCAGTAAGTATCCACATAAAATACAAATGTAACAGTAAAAATTATATCAAGTAGATTGGAACTATCTGGCTAGCAGTGAAAACTACTGAATCAAATCTACATAAAAAATATATTAATGCAAATATCAGACCAGCACAACCCAGAGTCTCATGGCTTGTCAACTATAACCTTGGTATTTGGGTCCAGCTGTTTCAACTGCAAGAATCAAAATGAAAAGCAACCTTGAAAATCTTAACTAACATAATTAAGCCTTGAAAATCTTAGCTAACATAATTAAGCCTTGAAAATCTTAACTAACATAATTAAGCATACATCTTAGTAAATCATCAGCTTGACCAACGCAATGCTTGGTTGCAAAATACTATTAATTCTTTATAAAGGAAGAAAAAAAATCATTGAGTGTAAAATAAGTTGTCTAAATGAGAACCGAGACAGCTGTGTTATTCCATACAGTCTTCAAAGCCAGTATGAGGTGGAGTGCTCAAAAGTCACTTCTGGAGAAGTAAAGTTGTACTAGTTTATTGTTAAAGCACTGGACTGGAATTCTGAAAAGCAATTTCCACTCCTAGGTCAGTCATAGACTTCCTGTCTGGCACCTGCTGGTCTTTGACTCCAGGAAGATGCAAACTACTCAAGAGATTTGTTCCAAAAAGAACCGCAGAATATTTTTTCCCATGTTCCCTATTCATCAGTAAAATTCCTAGAATGGTATCTTGATCCAGTATGTTGAGAACAGATGCAGAAGACAAGAGATCTTGATGATATCTTATTCTAAGTCCTTCAGAGACAGGCATATGCTTTCAGGATGGAGGTAAGAATTCAGGGCCCAGTATCATTATTGTAAAATAAGAAAAGAAAGTGAACACTTTGTGAGTTCTCAGGTTATTCCATGTCAATGACAATTAAAATTAAGAGCATGAAGTAAATAACTCAAAATTTAGAAATATTTTAATTTGAAACCCTTATGCACAGTAATCATAATTTAAGTTTACATGATTATACACAATTTTCACAGGAAATCTGTCTCTTTCCCAGCTACAGATAGCTCTCAGTAAGTAGTGTAGCTATTTCATATTCTTTATGAAATAAAGAATACTTTATTCACTCTAGAGCCTCAAGATCTCATTCACTGTACTATCACACAAATAGCACTCCAAGTAATGCAACTACTCACTCTACAGAGCTCATAATTACAGCACTGGAGAATTCCACAAGTTAAATTTAATTCTGAGAATCCTGAAGTCAGAGGTTGTGGCCAAGCCAAATGAATTTTTGTATTTTACAATTTTTGTATTAGACACAACCTAATTGTCACCTACTTCAGTCACAGCTGTGAGCATTTAAACTTCCTGTTCTTTCGAGTACAACTACTACAAACCAGTAGAAGAAAACAAGGTATATACAACTAGTTCTCACATGTGAACATTTGCCTAGCAACATGCAGAACCTTTGAGATAAACAGAGGAAAACAATTCAACAGAATAGCCACTCTTCCGTCAAGACAATGTTTTCCGTCTTCCTGCAGTATCGCATACTACTAACAATGCAAGTACTGACATTTACAGCAAACAAGAAGTGAACCCTACAATGTGTGCAGAAGAAAAATAGTGAAAAAATAACTATGTTAGTTGAATAGAATTTTATAATGTTTGCACACAAAGTAGTTAAATTTAATTTAAGTTAAAACCTCCTTCTTTCCTGTTTTTTGGGGGTTTCTGTTGGTTTGTGTTTTTATTAACTTTCGCATTTAACTTCATAATTGGGACATTGCATTAGCTTATGTTCATTGTATGCAACTAACATTTTTCCCCCAAAGTAAACCAAAATCAGCAGTACTAAAACAGGAAGCAATTAGTTGCACAAGGGTGATTAATATCATTGTCATCTACAGATCCACAGAGACTGCTGCTACTTGAGGTGGACCATCATCAGCCCTAAGCTGTAGCCTCTATGTAAATCAATCAAAAGCATTTTTCTTGCACATCTGTGTCACCAAGTCACAGACAGCTTTTACCTGTTTAAGGTCGCTATATTCGATATCTCATAAGGAGCATCATCTGTCCTATTACCTTCCATACATTTTCTTTCCCTCTCTACCTTAGTGTTTACTAAGTGGGTGTATCTGTTTTCCTTTGTCTGAAATTCTACTTGGACTTTACTCTTCACTACCATCTCCATTCAGCTGCTACTCCTCCTTTTTTGCTCTTTAATGCAGAGCTATCACTACAGTCACTGGCTAGTGTATCCCTTGGAGAATTATCATGTCATGATACTTGGCAGTTTCAGTGAAACAGTTTGACTTGGTGATCTTAAGAGTCTTTCCCAACCTAAACGATTCTAAGATGACATGTCATGGACACTTCAAATTCCCTGCTTCATAACATGAAGAAAAATTTTTAACCCCTCTGCTTCTCTTGTACATGAATTTCACATATACAAAATATCCCCCCCTTAACTTCATTGCTCCAAACACATTAGTCTTTCTTCTACAAGTGTGTTTAAAAATTATTTCTTCTGCAGGCAGATGCACAGCATAAGAAGTTGCTCACCACATATAGTGTAAGTGTCAGGTTCAGTTCTGTTTACAGTTCAAAGGAACAATAACTTGATACAGGACTTTTTCCTTAACAGTTAATATCAACAGCAGTAGAAGTACTTTTGCTTTTTTTAAGCACTATGACTTCACTATTTATTATGTGATTCTTACTTTAATCAAAGTAAGGATAACAGGCATCTTCAGTAGATAAGCAATTCACATTTACCATGAATTTAATACACTTTGTAATTTTTTGTGAGCTGTAAACATATGTTAAAATTTTATTTGGAGTATGTTTCCTTTGGAACTCCTGTTTAAGTTTACTGCTCGCACTAAACAGATGTCCACCAAAGTGCTGATTAATGAAAGCAGTCTGAAAGATATGTAAAGAAACTAAGTAAATGATGACATGAAAGGCCAAAAGACATTGCTGCAAAAATCTGCTCAGCCATACCGAATATCCAGATTTTGTGAGTAAGTATTGTCACACAGAAAAAGTGTTTTTGTAAACCACATAACACACATACACTTGTTAAAACTTACAGTTTGCTCTCAGCAAGTGTTAGCTTGTCTTTCAGTAATTGAATTTCGGTATCTTTCTCTTGGGATGTTAATTGGTTCTGAAATTCTTTGTCTCTACTAGTAGCCAGTAACGTTTCAAGATTCTGAACTGTAAGTCTCTCACTGGATAACTGCTTTTTCAGCAACTCTACTTCTGATTTTATATCTTCTAATTCTCCTAGAACCTAAGGCACAAATTATATACATTATTAATACACTGGTTTACAAACACAGAGAATTCTATTTCGTAAAGAGTTGCTATAAAAACTGAAATGATCTTCTGATAAAAAAGAACAGGAAACTGAGCTCACAAAACAAGTTAAAGCTACAATTATTCTAAACTATACTTAGTTTAAAACTATTCAAGCTGTACACCTATCAAATGTTTTACTGTGAGTTGGATTACATAGTGCTAGAAATGTTAGGTAAGTACCAGGAACACTAATTGGCTTTTAACAGCAGTAGACTTTTGCCCAAGTTCAAAAATAGTATTTACTATACTTCATTCTATTTGACTAGTTCAGCTCACAGTTAGCTTCTTGGCTTTTGCTTAAAATGTAGGAATACTTGTTTTCCTCACCAGTTTTATGAATATAAACAAATTCTACTGTTCCTGAGGTCTTGAATATTACAGTACCAGAAAGCCTGACCAAGTCACTAAATAAAGACAAAATCAGCTGTAAAGAAAAATTAAATTTCAATTTAACTGAAAAAAGTCATTAGGAAAAGGTCTTTAATATCTAAATAAGAAGTGCAGTATTCGCATTTGGTAAGTTGAAAATTTGAGTAAATTAAAAAAACAAAAAAAAAACCCATATAATTTGTCTCTGGTATCGCAAAAACTACAGCTGCAACATTTTGCAGTGATAATGAAAGAAACTCCATCTTTTTGTACAAAACCCGCAGATACAGATCCATATACTGTAAAATGTATAATTTATATACAAATGGGAAACTAGTGATGTAAATTAACTTGGCTTGCTCTCAGAAGTGATTCTTTTCTCCAAAAACCATTAAAAGCAAAGGAAGTTATTTTATTATAGCAAATTAAATTTGCCTTTTCTGCTTACCCTTTCATAATCCATGCTTTTGGATGTCAACTGTCGAGACAAAAGATCTTTGCCAGACTCAAGTTTCACACAGAGCTCCCTCACAGAAGTCAGGTCTGCTAACACAGCAGCCTTATCCTGATTTTCACGTTTAAGGTCCTCTTCCAATTTGGACATGTTTTTCGTAATGGAGGAGATCTGAGATTCATATACTTGATGTGCAACAATATGCTAAACAAAGACAAATACGGATACGCTTTCAGTGTTAAATTTAACAGTTTTCTGTTGAATAACTTGGGCTTTCTTATACTTTAGTTTCTCTTTAAAATTAACTTTCCCTATAAAACTAACTTTATATTACACTCCTTCCCTTTCCCTAAATTACAGCTGAGGACAACTAATAAGCCATCGCTGCAATTTTTAATCACCATCTTGAAGAATTATACAAGTACTATAAAAGAGTGGAATGAGGCTGTATTCCAGCTTCAGAGAATTAAAAAGCTTAAAACCCCAAAAATACAGCCTATTGTTTAATCAGCTTACAGTATAGTCTCTAACATGAGACAAAATGTAGCCAATACACATCAATTATGCTCTAGAACTTCACTGACATCCATGAAGTTATTGTTTCTAAAATATAAACCTCATTATGTTCTATGATATTGGTCAAGGTTTCAGTATTATGGAATCCTGATTCTGGATTTGGACTATGTCTACCAGATTTTTACCTTGACTCCAGCCACCAATGCTTCAAATACCTCATTCAAAGCTTCAAAGAAACGAAAGATCTAAGCTTAGAAAGTACTCATAAAGCTATGTGCAAACATTTTGAAGCAATATACAAAAGTTTCTTACAGAGACAGTATCATAATAGCAATAATAACCCAACAGAAGAGTTCCAAAACTATCAAAACATATGCCATTGATCTAATTTTGGGAAAGCAGGGAGAAAGAAAGCATGTCTAAACAAAACCAGTTACTATTTCAAAAACTCAAGTGTCCATATTTGAAACACTCACATATAGAAATTATTTTCTATTAAAATGTTAAAAATACCACACTGACTTTATTGAAAAACACCTGAATGTATCCCACTTTCCTTGAGAGAATTTCATTGCACAAGTTATTACCCCTTGAATCTCTTTTTCCAGAAGTTCTACTCTCTCCCGAAGATGTCTCCGATCTGTGTCTACTGAAAGGAGTTCAAGTCGTATCGAGCTGCTTTCTCCTTCAGCTTGATGAGCCTTCATTTCCCAGTCTTCAGCTTGCGTATGGAGCATTTGGAATTTCGCTAACAATTCTTGGTTCTCTTGTTCCTAAAAAAACAGTAAATCACTCTGCAATGATCAACATACCTTCAAGTTGATTGATCTTATTTCATGCCTACTCCCTGCAATGTATGTTTGGGGGGGGTTTTTTGTTTGGTTTTTTTTTGTTTGGTTTTTTGTGGTTTGGGTTTTTTGTTTGTTTGTTTGTTTTTCCAGAAAAAGTAGATCTTTCTTCATTTTCTTCATCCTGCTATCTGGCAACTACTAAAGGGCATCATCCCTTTTGCAAGTCCAGATAGCAAATAAATACAGTGATGGCATTCAGTTTTATTAAAATGGAAGTACTTACATTTAGAAGTTGTTAAAGAGTATCAAAGTTCCCAGGAGAGGGGCTATTTTAGATCTCTCTGCATTGTCAAGGGTCACATTACTGAGATATACTGAGTGCTGCCCTTTCCAAGAAATTCCAGCAGAACTCCATTTTCAGCTCTTTTACTTACTGTGCTCTTACACATATCTGTGTTACAGCAGTGCGTGAAACACTGATAATCTATTTGAGCAGTCTATCACACAAGTACAAAACTGCAAGCTTTACCATTTGTGCAGTGAGAACAAATGTTGCTTGTGAATTTTAATTTGGCCAAAGTGCAAGTGTATATTATAAAGCAGTGATTAATTTTTCTTATTTACCTACATTCCCTTCTTCCCTGCTCACATAATGTGCAGCAGGATATGCATGTTGTTAGTATGAGTTCAGATTTACCTCATGAGGAAGGCTACTGTTTTTGAAATTCCTTCATATCCTGCAGAACTTGGAAGGTACAGACAGGATCAGGATGAGCATTAGGAAATAGAAACTCATGATTAAGCAAGTGAACCCCGTGCAGAAAAGTAAATCCTTGTCTCCATAGGCATTATCCAGATGTAATATTAGACAAAACTCTGAAATCAAACTATCGAAACTGGTCACTGTCTGTATATTCTACAGCTTCCTGGTACACACCGTGAATAACTGGATTCTCATTTGCCAAAGATGTGGCCAATCTGTAGCTGAAGTACTTTGGACATATGATAAATTGTAAGATTCTTAAAAAACAAGCTTCAAGTGTTTTAAATTAATAGTTCTAAGCTAACATACTACTGACCTTAATTTTTTCCCCTAAGCTTGAAGTTTCTACTTGTAAAGAGTGGTTGAATTTACATGCATTCATAAAGTTGAAATTAGATCAAGACTCATTCCTCCCATTTCAAAGTCACATAATAAATTTGCCAGTTCATGTCCTCTTCACACCATTTCTATTTGTTTTAAATGTTTATAAGTTTTAATTCATATACATCACACTTTTGAATCCAAGTATCAGGATAAAATACACTTACCAAGAGCATAGTTTTGGCAGTACTATTTTTACACTTTCACGCAGAACTAAATAAAAACTTTTCTTTTCAAAAAGGGTAAAACATTGAAAACCATTACACAAGCTGATTGTTGCCTACAATCATGAAACAGTACCAGATATTTTACTAGTTGCCTTGTCAAAACTCAAAAAACAAAATAACATTCAAATATGATATGTTTGTTATTCTCCAGCACTGTGGACAACTGGAACATGATCAATGAAATTGTCATGTGCTAGAATAATCAGTGCTTCAGATCTAACAAGGTTTTATATTTTACTATCCCCACTAGTAACTTGAAACACTGCAGAGAAAAGAAGGAAAAATAAAAGAAGGAAATGGGACAGGCAGGGATGACGGGACCCAAGCCACACAATTCTTACTGAAAACAGTAATAACTGCCTACAGATTATATTTTTACCTTCGAAGCCATCAAGGTCTCAAATCTGGAAACTTCAGTTATATAATTATGAACCCTGGTTTTCATTTCTTCTTTTTCACGTATTGCATCTTCAAGCTCAGTACTGATAGCCTAAAGAGGTAACATAAAGGCAAAATTGTGCAGTATGGTAAATTAATCACTATAATAATACTCTATCAGATTAAATCAAAGTAATTGCCTATGCCCTAGATTTTTTTTCTATTCTACCTAGAAAAGCCTTTGGGATTTGTATAGTTCAGAAATATCCCCTATCACCTTAGACACACGGGTTTACAAGGGTTTCCAGGCAAGAATAATCAGAGAAAACAATGACTATCACACCAGCTCATAAAATACGCAGCTTTCCTGATGACACACCATACTGATCTTTGGAAAATTCGACATACTGATGTTTGGAAGCTGGAATTTTTATAGCCATAAGATTCACTATCTCTGAGTGAAGGTGAGTTTTAGGTCACTAGAAAATCAACTTTATAACAAAAGAACATTTACTTTAAAGTGGAATTGCAAGATAAAAAACCTAAATGCATTACTAAGATCGTATTTAGACATCAAAAATGCATTGTGGAACTTGTTTTAGATATACTGACTCTGGCCCTCTCAGGTTCAACTCTCACCTTCCTCTGAGTCCTCTAGTCCAGAGAGCCAGAAAGCAAGTATGTTTTGCTATCCCCATGATCAAATGTGGGGGAAATAAAGGATACTGCCTTATTTCTTCCTCTTCTTCTCTTTGTGGTCTATTAATATTCATTAGTGGCAGCCTTTTTCACTGTGTGCCTTATTTAGCATACAATGGAATCAGTCTGCTTATCTGTGTGGTAGCCTTCCCAAACACATTGGGAAAGCTTTAGTCATCACGTTTTGATAATATTTAACATTTCATCTTATTAGATGCCTGGGAATGGCAGATCTAATTTCAATAATACATCCACATACTTACGTATTGTACTATAGGTTTTGCAAGAACTATTCAGGGTACTACATCACTTACATAAAAAATATTGTTATATTGTACTCTCTAGCATCAGACTCAGCTGGGCCAACCGAGGAGAATTGAAATAAATGTTTTAGCTAACAAGGTCCTGATTATTTTCAGTGTTGGTATTTACAGCAAATTGAAACAAACATTTTAATCTCAGCATCAAAATTGTAAAGGTATCTGAGTCTCATGAGGAGCTGCAATAGTTGTATTTGTGTGATAGTTTTCACCCTGGGCCTTCCAGGAGACCAGCTTGTATCTATCACAATTTGCTATACAAATTGAATGTAATGAGTTGCAACAGCATTTTGTGCTAGCTCTCTAGATCATGCTCACATATTCTCTACACAGTCTTTGTAATGCTTAGCTCACTAAAAAATGTTACTTGCCCTATAAACCACTGAAGATTTTTGTTATATATTGTCCATATGCACATTCTATCACACAGGGATATCCATATCATGTACTTGGAACTGGGAGGCTTTTGGTCAGCAGTAACCAGTTGGTGAACAAAACCAACTCGTTATTCCTCCAACTATGTGAGGGATTAACAAGACTGAATGCACATCAGGCTGTCCAAGCCATGGATCTCAGATCCAGAGAATTCCAAGGAAGAAGAGATGGAGCAGTGATGATTGCAAAGAGTGCAAAGGAGATATGCTATATAAGCCCCTTATGCTTTTGAAAGAATGAGCCTTACACACCAGTGGTTGGTTTAATTGTGAACCCCTGGAGAACATCTAGAGATGAAGATATCACAAGAATAATAACAATGATGATAACTGAATAGTCTAATCCACTGAATCTTTCAACTATTTCAGTTGTGCAAAATTTTTATTTAACTTACATCAACTTCAGATAGCTCATCTTTCAATAAAATAGTCAATGATAACCTACAGAAATGGGTTATTCCTCAAGACTTTCAAGATTTTATTTCAAGTCTGATTCTACAACTGACGTAAGTTTAAGTCACGCCTTTATAGTATGCACTTTGCAAGGAAATGGATTTAGCCATGAGCAGCTGAGAGGGACTTGTGTAATTCCCAACTGGAAATCTGACTGTGAACACACATGAACCACCTCAACAGCCACTGGGCAATCATAATCCAATTCCCAGCTGCTTTCTGGTCTAATGCTACTGACTGGCCAGCTGTTAGCATTGTACATTATGATTCTAAACTACTAGAGAGCTAACCAAAGATAAAATCAAATAAAACTAAACAAATAAAATATAAAACTCTGCAAGGAGTCAAATAAAGCATATGAACAGAATCTCCAAAAAACCCAAAATACACACACAAAAAAGCTGCAATATACAGCTGAACCTGTGTGTATATATATTTCTATCTATAGTGTGTATATACACACATGACATCTACTTTACCTATGTAAAGATAATCCAACAAGAACATTTTTCCAGGGAAATAGATGGCACCTTTGAATTCACCATCTAAAAAGCCCACACAGTCTTGACATAATGAAAAGGGAACACCTCCTATTCTCATTGATTGTGAATCCTTATCCATTCCTGAAATCAGGTAACAAATTCAGACTATTCAGGACTATCATACCCTAAAAATAAGCATTCTTCAATCCCTCTGTCTCTTCTAGCTGTTAAGCCCTCTTATACCTCCTCCTCCAACATTAACCTTTTCCAATTCACGAGTGAAAGCAAAATCCCTGCAGAGAAACACACATGAATGGTAACTAACCTTGCCAGGACTACAAATTCAAAACTTGCCAATACCTCTTTACAGCCACTGCTAGCAAGGCTCACAGAACACAAACATTAAATCTACATTCCAAAACATCCTAATCTCAAAACATGGCAAAAATCCTCATTCAATAAATCCAATGTTTCATGGAAACTAATGGATGAAATTAATCAATTACTATGCACCAGAAGGAACTCAGATGTGCTAGCAATCTCCTTCCTCTCTCTTTCTGACTAACAATTTGAAGTCTGCTTTTTTGGTTCCTTGCTCTCTCTCAATAATTAATTCCACAGATAATAAACCACCATTTTTATCAATTAAATACCAACTACCAAGAGATATAACCAAGTAACATAATTTCATTATATTAAAAACAATTATGTCCTAGATTTATTTTATTTAAAACTTTATTTAGATTTCTTTTTTAATCTGGGGGAGGATAACTAAACTGAAAGCTTGTCTATTTCTCCCTCACTATATTGACTACACTTATGTATCTGAAGTAATTGCTTTTACAATTTCAATATCCCAGTGTTAATTTCTTAATTATGTATGTTTAATTAAACATACCCATCAAGACTGGGGATATAGCAGTTTTGATGTAACACTATATATAAGCAAGCAATAAGTGGTTTAATACATCAGTATTATGTACTGTACCTGGTTTTCTCTGGCCATTGTAGTTAGGTCATCTTGCAGTCGTCTGTTTTCTTTCAGAGCCATTTCCTTCACTCTTCCCATTTCTGCAAGCTCTACTTGGGACGTATCAAGCTGGCGTTGTAAGGTCGATATCTCACGGTCTCTGTTGCTCAGCATGTCCTTCATCTGGCTATCAAGTGAAAATATTATTTAAGTTGTTCCTTCTTGTACTAAACCACATAGTGCTGAAAATGATCAGACATGGATATGCAAAGGCATTCTTGCTTACTGAAGGCTGATAAACTGAGTTGAAATATAAACGTAAGTCAAGTATGTAAAAGTCAGTATGCAGAAATAAAATGGAAATAATTTTCAACTTTGAAGATTTATTTGGTAAGATGAAACTTGTTATGCAAACAGCAATTAAAGATACTTATGTTTATCTGTGTTTGCTAGTGGTTACAGTGTGTTACCCACTGCATATTTTATAAACCATAAGAGGAAGAAGATAGCTTACACTTGAAAGACAACAATCAAAAGAGTAAGGGACTAAACAAAAAAGCAGAAATAAAAATATGTGTGAATTTAAGTAAAATTTTTCATTAGTTTTTTGTCACAGATATTTCATGTATCAATGCAGCAAATATTCAGTTACATTTGCCTTCAAAAGTTTAAATATTGGTGTTTAAATATTTTCTCTTAAAAAGCTATAGTTTTCAAAGTCATGCTTAAAAAGAGGCAAGAATGAATGATTAGATGAAGCCCAGCTAAAAAGCACATAAATATATTTTAATTAAGACTGTACTAGTAGCTTATGCTAGGACTAGATTGCCAATAATTAAGAATTTAGCTGTGAATTTTACCTGGGTCAATCTAATAATGTCTAGTGGAGTACTAAAAAGCTACTTTTTGACTGATAATTAATAAATGTTACCAATTTAAGGAAATAAATATAGACAAACAACTGTTAATGGTTGTCTTAATAGTGTCCTAGCAGCCTGCAATATAATTGCAGAGGTCTCTTCAAAAGTTGTGTACGTCTTTCTCAACACAGTACACTCCTTTACTTGACTTAAATGGAAGTAATTCAGTTTCATCAAAATAACTAAAATAGCCATATACTTTCACTTTAAAACCACTAGGTAAAATAAAATCTCTGAAGAAGGCATCCTAGTCTTTACTTACTCTGTTGAGGACTCCAGCTCAGAGAGAGTTAGGCGTAAATGAGTAATTGTTTTTTCCTACAAAAATAAAAACAGAAGTTCTAGATATCATTATATTGCAACATAGTAGATACTTCAATTTAAAGAACTTTTCATTCAAACCTTTATTATAACTCTTTGACAATAAGTAATTGCATCTTTGCACATTCAAATTTCCAAGCTTCTTTTCTTTACTGAGAAAAGATTGTCTTGTCATCAAAAAAGACGGAAGCTACAGATTTTGTCACCTCAGGTTAGAACCTTATATCTCAATAAATACCTCCACGTGCAAAATGCAAAAAAATACTTCTTTGTATTCTTGGTGTGTTTAGGGAATACAGTAACATTCATAATGAAAGTGCTATTGAGTTGGCAAATGACTCTTCGCATTGGTTAGGTCCAAACATAGTGTCTATGTGATGCCTAGTGCTCTGCATAGGCTTTGTCATGAAGGAAAAATGTCTCCTTAAAAATTAACTGCTTTAAAAATCCCCAAATGGACTGCAAACAGTACTTTTACTGCACATACCTTGTTAGCTAAGTTGTCATCTAAGCATGCAATTCTTTCTGTTTTTTCATCCACGGTTTCTTGAAGACTGTCCTTTTCTTTATCCAAAACAGTAATAGTACTTCTAAGCACATTGACTGCTTCGTCCTGTGAAGTGCTCCTCTGGTTTAACCTATCTATAAATAAAAGAATAAGTGTTTTCTATTTTAAAAACAGAAAATAAGCATAAAAATAACTACTGATTACCTATTTTCTCCTTTAGCATTGCAATTTCTTCCTGAGCTGACTGCAGATCATCCTTTCTGAGGGACAAGCGGCGCTGTAAATCTTCAACAGACCTCTGGAGCTGGTCATTTAAGAGCCTGGAAAATCAGTGTACAGTTGAAAGAAGTTTGGGACCTATTCAGGGTCTTCAATTTATGGCTCTTAAGCTGCTTGAAGTGTTGGCACAGTTCCAGCATAACCTCCTGACAGGGTTGTATCATACCAACCTGCAGCATGGGGTTGTGTCATATAACCAGCCCTCTCCCTTGAGAGGGAGGACTTAAGGATTTCTGAAGCCAACACCACTTGTTTGCTCTAGAGCCCTGCTGCAAGTCCATCTCAACACCATTACAAAATGGAGCAATGGAACCTCAGTGGGACCACCACAATAACCCGAAACACTCACTTCCTCTGATTTCTGTCACTCTTGATCATGTGCCTCATTACTTGTGTCTTTCGACTGTTGCTTTATAAAGATTTTGATATGTAGTTCATAGCAGTGATTATCAGTGACACAACATTTTAAAAAGCAACCAAATTGACAGCTGTAGTTTTGATCCTACTCTTAAGAAATACAGAGCCCGAAAGATACATGAAATCATCTACCTACATAGTTGTTTTTCTTGGAAAGAAATATCAGAGTGACTTAAGGAAAAAAAAAGCAAAACGAAACTCGAAAGTAATTAAAAGGATTATTTATGAAACAAGTCGGGAAATAAAAACCCCTCCCAACTGGAATCCCACAAAAGCTACAGAAGCTTTTCATTATTAAGAAAACCCCACCAATCCAGAATGTAGCATGTTTGCAGATAAAGATTGCTCTCACTGAGTTCAGAGTGAAACTTTAGAGAGGAAAAAAAAAAAGCAGGGGGAGGAGGAAAAACACAGTTCTAACAAATTGCCACCATGCACAAAGTAGAACCAAATGCTGAAATGACTTCTATCCTTCTTTTCATAATATCAATGCTTCCACTGAAATTATAAGGAACCTAACAAGATATTTCATTTTTATTAATGTTGTCACAATTTTACCAACAAATATACTAATTCTTTTACCAAGAGCCCTCTTTGTGCAATCAGGAGCATTAAATGAACTTCAAGTCCTGCTTCTCAGTTTCGGTTCTTCACAGTTATTCCCCCACTATTGTACATTGCAGCGTAGTACTGTTCAGGTGGGGAAGGGAGAATAAGACACAGACCCTGTTTTCCCTTGTAAAACATTTGAAAGATGTCATCTACAGCATTACCTATCCTGTAGTGATCTCTTACATCAAAGCCTCTCACTTCTACCTGTATTTTCAAATTTCTGCCCAGATTTTCAATACTCTGTTTGTACTTTCTCTAAGCCTTTTCCTTGTTCTATGACATTTAGACAGCTGATGGGAGCTCTTTTCCAAAACAACTTTAAAAGAGCACAACAATGATCCTGCAAGTTTAAACAGACCTTAAAAATACATAGGTACACTTGATCCTCCAGTTCCGAGTAAGTTGGTTAAATCTCCACAGACTGTGTCTATGGATCACAAGATGTCAGCTCTCAAAACTGTGGTATGCGTGTGATAGCATTAGCATATGAAAGAGAGCAATACAGGAAAAACAGTTCATGTAAAATGCCATTACAGAATGATGCTCCATGAACCACTCAGTTGTGGAATATCACTGCCTGCTGCCTGGCATAAAATTTTCACTATTACTGACAACTTTGTAAAACTGGCACAATCTGGCTCTACTGCTGCAGTTTGTACAGGTATCTGTCTTCCTTTTAACAAACAGCATTTGGAAATTCTTTTAGAAATGTTCTGTTCTGCTACATTCATAAGTAGAGAACATGATTATTACAGGAAACTATTCTAGAAGAAGGAGAAAATTTTCATTCACAACCTGCCATAAAAGTTATCGGTATATCTGGTCATCAAATAAGTCCAGGAGGAGCTTGCTGTGAAAAGCCACCACAGCACTTTCCTGACTCACACTTACTTTTCCATAACACATAAACAGTATAAGTGATTTTAAAAATATTTTATGGTCTTTCCCAGAAACTCAACTCTGTCATAGAGTCATAGAATAAACAAAATTACTTTAGCATCTCTGAAAGATTGTATCAGACTTACTGAAGTGAGCAAATCTCAGCTTTAAATTGAGAAGAATCATCAGAAGTCTGGGCAAGTTTACTGGACTTCAATTTTAATTCATTTTCCAAATAGTTTGTTCTTTCTTTCAGAATGGAGACTGTAGACTTCAGTTCACACTTTTCCATCTCAAGCTGCAATTTAAAATAAATAACCAAACGTTATTTTTGCAGAAAGCTATCACAGTTTGGCTTTTAAATAAATTTAAGTTGAAAACAGTTAATGAAATGAATTGCTGGAACAGTCTATCCTATTTTAGAAATAATAAAAGCTTACTTCCTAAAAACACACTTACTCCTTGAATGTTATTCTCCAGTTCTGAAATATCATGCTGCATCTTTGATTTTTCAAAGTTTGCTGCTTCTTGCTGAATCTGAGATAGAAATACAGAATTACATGTAACAAGGTAGACATTTTTAGATTTAATCATAGAAATTTAAGCTTCATGTTTAAGAAAACATTGCTTTACATTCTTTGATGAATGACCAAATGCAAAGCTCTCTCTGTAAAACTACAGAACATTAGCTGAAAATAGACCACTGCAGTTTAATATAACATCACTGAGTTTGGTTTTGGTTGTTGGTTTAGATTTTTTAAATAGTATATTTATATTTGGATCCAACTAAACTAATATTTGTGATTTGCTGTAGAGTTTATTGAGCTACAGGGTGTATGCATGTATAGCTTAGTGCCCTAAGATGTTTTAAATTAATTTATTAAATTATCATTAATTACAAAATATAAGACAGATTACAAACCTAACAATATTGCCTTATATGCATCAAATATATTGTTGTTTCCCTCTTGTGAGTAAAGTCCATGATTTCTTCCACAACAGTGACACACAAGCATCTTCAAAGTAGTGTATACCCACAAAAATATTCTGTGGCTGGCACTTCATATCTAGATTTTTCACACAAGGTGATGTCATGCTTGCCCTCAAATACTTTAAGCGCGTTCCTCTCCCCCTTTCCCCAACAAGGAACTATGTTTACAAGGGAAATTTGATACAATTCATTGAGCTCTCTCAAGCGAGTCTGAAATCAAAAGTTCTTGAAAAGGGTTGCTGACAGCCAAATACAAACACAGCACTGTTGTATAAGCCTTCCCTATATGCCACCTCATTGTAAGCAGTGAAGCTATAAAAGCTCACCTTTAATTTTTCTCTGAGGCTTTCTTTTTCTGCCATTAGTCTTCTAAAGTCAGTCAGTGCAATGTCTCTTTCTTCTTCCACGTGACTTTGAGAAACTAAACTATGCTTTGCTTCTCTTCTCATCCGGTTCAACTCACTTTGAGACTTAAAAAGATTATTGTTTGTTAGTATCCATGGACTGCAATATAGTGTACACACTAACAAAAGAAACTTTCAATGCTGTTATTACAACAGAAGTTCTATTATAGTCTTATTTTTCTCTAGGTAACTAAAACATATTCTCTAGATCACTCAGTGGAGTGACAATTTATGCTGACTACATAACCATCACTCTTCTACTGTTCCAAGCATAGACTAACTTCGCTCTGTTCTCTTATCATTACACAACTTTCTCACGCATTCTATTGACTTTTTCCTTATCTTTCTGATTTCAGAATGCCAGTACAATAACTTATTATGTCATTATAATGGTTTTCAAGTTAATAAACTAAGTGGAATACATAATTTTATTAACAAATAATAAAAATAGGTATATATTTTATTAGCTTTTGTTGTATTCTAGTAGGTCTATAGTCAAGTTCTATTATAAAGGTTTTCCACTTTAAACAAGCCACAGTACAACAAAAGTTAATTGGTTATTTCAATGTAAATTACAAACAATCTCTTCTTACCTGCTCATAAAGAAGATTTAATCTATTTCTTTCTGCAGTCAATAATCTGACATTGGACTGAATTTCTATCATGTGTTTTTCAAATCTGTCTAACATGGACCGTAGCTCATCTCTTTCTCTGGTGATCAATTTAAGCTCTTCGCCCTGCAAAGTGACCAATAAAATTTCTGTTAAAATAAGCTAATTAAAATATATGGATAATTAATACCAAAAAGAACTCATGCTAATAATAATACATAAAAAATACAAAATAAATTTTCATTGCAAGAAAAAGTCTGGCATTGGTGGTATCATTTAAATAATAACAACTAACTGTTAAGAAGAAAAAGCAAAGCAGTGAACAGTAAGACTTCAACCTCTTTCTGGTTATTATCTAATTCTATTTATTTCAAACAAAATGATCAATAATTAATCAATATGTTGCTGTAAAATGTGACTAGGAAAATAAAATGCAAGTTCATTGGAGTTTCTCTCAGTTGGTTTTTTGCATTAAGAATGTAATTTAGAAAATTACTACAGTCATTTCCCATCACTAAATTGAAAATATATTTGATGGTTTCTTAAATGTTTCTACAGTATTTCCATTATTTTTTCAGCTTGTCCAGGCAGCAGGAACTTTACCTTCTCTGGAGTCCTGCGGCTTGGGCTAGGCCTTCGTCTTATCATTTTCTGAAGATATTCTAATTCTCGTTTATAATAATCTCTGTCATCTTCTAAAGTCTTCACAAATGCATCTAGACGAGATGGAGATTTGTCTCCTAGGGCTATACCATATTCTACTCTCATTCTTTCTATTTCTAGGACAAGTTCTCGTTCTGCAAAAGAAACAAAACAAAAAAACCAAGTGTATAGGAAAGTCATTAATTTCCTCAAAGACACTTGCATTTGGGATGGACTAACTCCCAGCAACTGTTGAAGCATTCCCGTCAAAAAAGATGTAGGAGTACTACATCTACTGGTTAATATTAGATTAAACATGAGCGAGTAGCATAAGACCAGTAGAGGCCTCACAGCATCTTGGGCTGTATCAAGAGACAGACTCATCAGCACTCATTAGACTGCACTTAAAATACCATGTTCAGGTTTGTCCCTCCTAGTACAAGACAGATGTTGATAAACTTAAGGGAAGCCCTCCAAGCTGGTCAGGGAGCAGAACACTTGCCCTGCAGGGAACAGCTGAGGGAACTGAGCTTGTTCAGCTTGGAGATGAGCCGGAGACCTAAGAGCAGACTGACAGTACCAAGAGGGAATTATACACAACACAGAGCCAGTTTCTTCACAGAGGTGCATAGTAAGTAAACAAGGAACAATGAAGATTAATTGCTACAAGCAATTACAAACAATACAGGGAAAAATATTTTACTCTGAGAACAGACAAACACTGAAATGAGTTGCTTAGAGATGATGTAGAATCTCCACACCTGGAGGTTTTCAAGATCCAACTGGATAAAGCTCTCAAGAAACACAGTCTGAATCCGCTCACTCAATGACAGAGTATAAAAACAATTTTGAAAATGACGTGTATGAAACTGCCATAGAATATAATGTGGGATCACAGTAAAAAGCTCAACTTTCAGTTCTCACATAGAGAATGAAAATATCCCTCCATGACAAAAGTTTTCAATTCAGTTATGACTGAAGACCTACAGCTTTCTTTCTTTTAATTTACATATATCAAAAGTCTTTCAGTGTTATTAACTGTATCTTAACTAGGAAAGTATTCTATTTCAAAATTTACAGGTTAATAATTTGCAAGAATTTACATTTGATGATTTACCTTTTATTTCTAAGTTCTCTGTTTTTTCTGTCAGCCTTTGCTTCTCTTGTTGAAGCTGGTTTAACACCACCTCAAGATTGTCTTTATCACCTGTTTTTCCAAAGAGTTCTTCATTCAGTCTCTCGTTCTCCCTACGACATGAGCACAACTCCTGAAGTAACAAGTATTATTATAACAATTAGAAGTGCCAATAAAGACATTTGAAAAAAAAAAATTAAACATTTTGTTGAACTTTAATATACAACACTGTTTACTTCTGTTTAACTTGGATATTTTATGCTTTAACATTTGTTACAGATCATCATTTTTATACTGGTTTTTATTACATCAAAGTAAACATTACTTTTGACACAGTTTGCAATCAGCAACAAAACAAGGAAGATTAACACTTGTTTAATTCAAGAAACCAACCAGTAGGATAGTGGGATACAAACATGTGAAAAAAAAGTAATGACTAAAGCAATAAATAATTTTTAATGGCATTTGGTAACACTGTTGATATTAAAGTACATTACAATACAGCATCTCAGTCAATCCAACCCTGCAGCTAATCAAATGCTATTTGGCACGTCTTTCCTACAATCTCATGCCCTGAAAACTAAGTATTTTTGTATTTGCAAGTTCACTAGATACACTAAAACACTGTACTCAGCTAATACAGAACTTGCTATATGCTATATGGAAAGAGTTTGGTCTTTGATAATTCCAATGTTTTTTATCTGAGCCACTATGTTTTGCTTCTGAGTTGCTTCCATAATTATTGAGGTTTCTTTCAGTTTATTTTTCCAACAATATGATGTAGCATCTTTAGTTTTTTCATTTATTAATTAGTAATTTTTTACAAAAGAGTTTTGGGCTACTACAAATGTTCTCTTGTTGATTGCTAAATTGATATTTTATAATAAATGACTCACATGGGTGACACTGTGATAAAAATGCTACAAACAAGAACTGAAAATATTTTTACTTACTGATTTAAGCTTTGTTATTGTTTCTTGAAGATCCTGTATTTCACTGTGTTTTCTTTCAATTTCTTTCTATCAACCAAAATTAACCTATATGTTAAGAGTTACATATTCAAAATGACAACAATTCCTTTGTTACAAAAAAAAAAAAAGAAAGAAGATGACTTTGGTAAGAATTAAAGTATAATTAGTTCTCTGTAATAAAGTAGTGAAGTTCCTACGAACTGAAAGCACAAAAAATTTGTCGTATAAACACCAATGTTCTTTTGGAGCACAACAATTAAGTGAATCACTGCATGATGACTCATAAAGAAAAACCCCTCCAAACATACACATTGCTGTTGCAAATATATATTACCTATCAATACTTTTAAGTATCTCAGGATTTTATTTCATACTAAGCTATTAGAAGAAAGACAGATTGCCACTCAACTAAACTCATCTCACCTAGTACAGTAAAGAGACAAAAGAGTTGTAATTAATCATCCTTTAGTGAGAAATTCTGTATAATATTAAGTAAACTGGGAAAAAATATCTTTTACTCTTCCTTTCGTATGCCAATAGGTAATTCCTTGCAAGTAGAAGACATAAAGCCAAATAAAGTTGAGCAGATCCTTCACTCTGTGACACGTTAGTGGTTACCTTTGCTTCTCCTATTTCCTTATCTGCAGTCTCGAGCACAATTTCCTTGTGTCTTTCCAACTGCTGTGCCAAGTGATCTATTTCATTCAGTTCTTGACACAGTTCTTCATTTTTATTGCTTAAATGCACTACCTCACTAGTCACATTTTGTTTCGTGTCCAAGAGGTCTTGAATGCGATTTTCAAGTTCTTTGTTTCTTTGCTGAAGATACTCAACCTGAAAGACATTTTTCATTAAAATATTAATAGGCATTGTTAAACTAGGTAGTAAAAGTTCATCCCAATCTTCTGAAATATAGTATCTCTATCACGGTAAAAAAGTGATATCCTGCTAAAAATGGCAGTATTTTCTATTTTTAAAACTTAATGTTTATCAACATGAAAAAAAAATTACTTACGAAGGTGCAAGATGAAGGAATGTATCACTACATCTTTCTTTATCTAATTTCCTGAACCTGAGGTTTACTCTAAAAGCAAAATATTGAAGAGTAGAGATCTGTATAGAAACCATTCTTGAGCATCAGGATGGCAGACCCACTGTAATCAGTTTTCTAAATTTTACAAGATATGACAACACATTCTTCTCTCCACATCTGTGGTATTATTTGATAGGTTTAGTCTCACTGTTACTCCTTCATCAAAATGAAGCTTTATAGATCAGATTTCTAAAACCTAACATATTTCAGTACCTTAAACACAGCCTCAGAAATTCTGCGCTACAGACATTGTTTTTCCCAATATATCATTCCCTGAGAGCAAAGTGAAGAGGGGCAGGGATGTAGAGTAGAAATAACAAATATACACTGTAAGTTACACTACCCAGGAAATGGGAGCCTTGAGTGTCTTTAAAGATTCAAGATAACAGAGATTCTCCACTTCTACCTCCACACAACCTTCCTCAAAACTCCAGAATTACTGTAGACACAGAAGACAATCTGAGCTCTCTCACAGTCTTGAATGCTGCTATATGAAGATATTCATACATTTTTTGTCAGAGAATAAAAGTGTTATATTGGGACTGAGCCTGAGCAAATAGTCTTGATGGTCCAAAACCAGCCTCATGCAGCTCTGGGCTCACTCTCTGTACAATCAATTTGTGTTCATCATGACTTACTAATTCAGGATCACTGAACACAGCTGTACTGCTTCCAAGTCACAGCTCATTCTGTATTTTTGCAGCACTGAACGTGAGATAATAAATTCTCCAACATGGTTCCCATGCCACTGTACATCATGCACAATCAGTATACAAAACATCTAACTCAGCTGGAAAAAGCAGAGAAATGATGGTATAAATCCAGAGATGGGCTTTACTTGGTTTGTACCCCAGCTCATCTTCTATTTTTTCAATTCTCATTCTGAGACCAATATTGAATGCATGATAATATGCACAGTAAACACAAACATCTTTAGCCTAAGCTTGTCATTTCCTTACAAGTCTTTGCTGGAATAAAGGCGGGGACCATTTGAGTTCAGTGAGGAAGATTTCCCACTCTCTGATGAGAATATCTACAGGACTACTCCTTATCATAAGCACATATACCATTGTTAGTTCCTAAAACATAAATGGCATGTACATTAATAAATAAATAAAAATATTTCCAAATTCGGTGAAAACAGGGTATCATACAGAAATTTGCTGAATACTTTCAGATTAACATACAAAGTACATGTGAGTTAACAGAATTCTTTACCAAAACCTTTCTGACAGACTTTTATGTCAAGAAATGAAATTTTCTTAGACAAGAAACACTGTCACCTAAAAAGAAAGGCAAATTAAATTAATTGATTTAACATCTATAGTGATTTTATTTGAAGAGCTAGAAGTTTTGTGGGTTTGTTTAAATTGCTAATATCTTTAGTTTTGACTAAACAAGTGTAATAAATCCATTACCTGCAAATTTAAGTGGGCAATAAGCTTCTCATTACTTTTAGTTCTTGATTCCAGAGAGAGAACCTCATGAGAACGCCCACCATCCAATGCCAGCAAAAGGCGCTCAATTTCTTTGTCTCTTAGCTCAACCTTTGAGGAGGAAAAAAAAATTCTATGCTACTTTATATATACCACTTAATAGACCCTTTGTTTACATAAACACATATGTATCATTCAGCAAAAGGATATGCACCTAAAAATGTGATTTCTATCTTATATATAGACATATACATTTTAATTCTGGGTTCTTCTAAAGAAAAAAAGTGATTGCTTTGAAAGAAAAACAAATTAATCAAACAGAATTGGTAGGGAAAAGCTGAAAAAATTTCCACTAGATTATTTTCTCGAAGAAATCCAAACAATTTCCATTTAAAGTGAAGTTAATGAATGTTGCAATATAAATGTCTGAGACTAGTCCTTAAATTAAGGGAAAAATCTTTTGAATAAGTTAACTTAGTGACTATTCCAGTCACTGAAAAAAAGAAGTACTAGAATGGGAAAACCAAGATGTGAAGGAAAAAAAAAAGGGGATGGTGTCCACAAATCCCCAGATGTTGAAAGACATAACATGAACATTTTATGCAATTCCATCACTTTAAGATTGTACACATCTCATCAATCCATTATAATTAAAATATTGTAAAATCTGCTGTTCATAAATTAACTATTAAAAATTTTAAAAATATATTCAGTCCAAGCAGTGAAAAAAATCATTCAAAGATATCTGTAGGACAAATTACTATTTTGGAGACGTTAACACTTATGCACTAAAAAAAACATACAAAACTTCTATCTATGATTGTCAAGTTTAGCTTATTTAATGTAATTTTAATACAAAAAATATATCAGCAAAACCACTGGGTAAGTATTTTATCATTGCTGCTGTCTTCAAAAGCGGAGGAGAGAAACGGCTCAACATCGGCAAGTTCAAATAATTGTATTTTACAAGCCCTACAGTCCCTTCCCAACAAGGTTTTTAAAACATGAAGGCCATTGCCATGCCTTCTACAGTCAGATAATAGTACTGATACTAACATCAACAACAAAAATAATGATGATATAAACATACTTGTTTGCTATAATTTTTCATTCCACATTCAGATATCTCCAGTTTTTCTTGTAGCTCTGTTACTTCTGACTGAAGTTCATGAATTCTGAAATGCAGCAATATATTGTTTATGTGAATTTATGGAAGAATTGTATGCACACAATTCAATATAAGAATTTTCTCTTTGCTCCTGAACTCAAACATTTCACAAAGAAACAGTTTTGTTCATACAAAATACTAATGCAAGGTCTGCTGTTTGAGATATTGCAGCAGTGTGACCTTGTCTGGCTGCCAGACCCCCACCCAGCTCTCTCACTTCCCTTCCTCAACAGGGCAGGAGAGAAAAGATGAAAAGCTCATGGGTCAAGATAAAGACAGGGAAATAATCTACCAGTTCATGTCCTGAGCAACACAGACGCAACTTGGGGAAGACTGATTAATCATCAATTAAAAAGAGCAAGACAGTGAGAATCAAAGGTACACCTATACTTCAAAATGAAAGAGTTCTTTACATTACCGATTATCAGCCACTTGAAGGAGGTCTGCAATATAAGGGTCCTCTGGCTGAGGAACTGGGTAGGCACTAACGCCTGATGGGGGGACAAGCTGGTCTATCTGCATGCGCTGACGCCTGAAGGGAATGCTTCTTTTTCTGCCTCCTGAAAGCCCAAACCCAAAGGTTTATTACTTGGAGTTAAAGCTCAAGAATCATCTTCTTTAATACAAATTTATTTTTCCTATTTATTGTACTGCTTCTGAACACGCACATTTCACCATTTTAATCTTTCTGTAATAATTTGATAAAATGTATACATTTCAGACAACACCATTCTTGCAGAATTATATCAGTTTTAAACTTTACCTTTATAATTAGGAAACACGCAAAGTTCAGTATAAGTAATTTTCCCCACTGTTCAACACCCTAAATAATTTACAGTTCAAACTTGTTGAATCTGTTAGTGATTTAGCTTATGAAGAAAGCTAAAACATCATAAAAGATGTTTTTTCCTCCCACATTTAAGAACTATTTCATGACTGAACTGACCTCTGCATTGTTTGGTAATGTTTTTATTCTTTCTATTCTATTGTCATTTCAGTGAATATCATAAGCATATCGAGCAGACTTTGTTCTTCGATTGCATGGTAACATTATATTTTAAAAAAAGCAAAACATAGTATCATTTCCAGATGAAACAATTACTCTTCAACAAATTGTTAAATAAGAACATACAGATGATGTAGTAAAGAAAAATTCCAGAGGACTGGTGACCAAGGAGCAAGTATGCAGGAAGACAGACAAAGGTGTAACATGTCATCTTTGAAACAGAGGACATGAAGTGCAGAAAGGTGTGGAAAAATAAAGAGAAGTTTTAATTTTACCTAATAATCTATTAACTTTTATCAGATGCCAAAACTACATAGATAATTCAATGACTTAGAAAGAAAAGACAATTTCAAAATGTCACAAAATAATTCTATTTCACTCAGCTTGAAAAAATTTAAAAAAAAGGAAACCCTACAAAGAAATGAAGCTGAAAGTAACAGCCAGAACATTTTAAGCTAACAAAAGACCCTTTAAATACTGTAAGCTTTCAGAGAGTTGGAACATTTGTAGATGTATTTTGCATCTTGGTATTTTTAGATTTTTGTTACAAAAATCTCAATCAGTCACTTTCGCAACATCAATTACCTGTCGAAAATATTTAAGTGTCAACAACCTGCCTCTGACTAAATTAGGTGCAGCAATAAAAAAAAAGCTGTTAATTAATAGTGCTTTCCAGTCACATTTTAACTTCGTAGTCTTCTACTGAATCTAAGTTTGTATTCAAATTTGTCCCTAACACAAGTGATGACCTAATGAAACTTCATACAGAGAAATGACTGAATTCAGAGCCAAACATTTTAACAGATAATGTTGTTCTACCGGATATTTTACTGCGATAACTTCTCTTACTAGAGGAAGAAAATATTATGTTCTGCAGATCCAAAAAAGCCCAGAGAAATGTTAAAATATCTGTGATTATTTACACTCACCAGGTGTTTGCACCACTGCTTGCAGATTCTTCTCCTGAAGCTGCTGAATTTTTTCAGTCTTGGCTTTGTTCTCCTTTTCCAACATTTTAATTTTATGTATATACTGGTTATTCAGAAATTTCAAGTCAGAAGTTCCATGTTCAGCCCTCCTTAAAGAGGCTTTCAAGTCTTCAAGGGAGAGAAAAGCAGTATTATCTCTCTTATTCACTATTACTTTTCCTAGTTGCACCAGAACAGGTATAAGGAAAATCCTATATTCTTTTTCCATAGCATGAAATTATCAAATATGCATACATATGTGCATACATTTACACACAAAAATATATATTTTTACATGTTTTGCAAATAAACCCCCACTGTGGAATAAAGACACATTTAGCAGGAGTATTTTATTTTAAATTAAAAAGTATCAATTCAGTGTATGAAAGTATATGTTAAATTTTCTAACATTCTCATGTTTGATTCAAACAATGATTTGCAGGACCTCAGAAGCTTTTTAACTGCAAAAGAAATGTTTGAGCATGAGCCTTAGTTCATTAAAGGCACCAAACTCAATGACCACTCCCACTCACTTATAAGTGCAGATAAATGAATCTGAAGATCAAGGATTTGGCCACAATTCTATTTTGGCATGGAAGAATTAAAAAAAGTATCATAATTTTTATATTACCTTTAACATGACGATCAGACCGCTCTTTCAGTTTTAATATTTCTAAATGTAGTTCATTATTTTCCCTGGTAAGTTTAGCATTTTCTGTTTTATAAGGTTCCAAAACAGTATCATAATTGCTGTATTCTTTTTCAGTTTTTCCAGCAGATAACTTTGCACTGCGCAAGCTCTCAGTTGTATGAACTAAGTCACTGGAATAAAGGAGCATCAGATGTGTTAGCAATGTTATCAGCCTTTACACTGCAGATGCAAATGTTTATTATGACCTGAGAAACAGAACCCTTTCCCCAAGAGGGGGAACAAATGGGTTTGAACAAAGAATCAGAATACTCATGTAAGAGAAACTGAAAGACAGGAATCATTTGTTTAAAAAAAAAAAAGTCAAAAGGAAAAGGCAGGACAAATACAAAAAATAAAGACAGATAGAAAGTATATCAGGAGTTTAGATCAAATAATTCAATACACTCTCCTTTCTACATAAAGTGACATTTGGCAAGATGATTTTTTTCCCTCAAGCACTTCACAAGTTCTAGCACCACTTACCACAGAAGGTCACTGGTACTTATATGGGGATCAGAAGTACCATAAGAGAGATTAGTGGTACATAAACTATAAACATTTTTGTGAAAATAGTAACAAAGCTAGGCATGGAGAAAGTAAAACTATCTTCTAGACACCAGAATAAGACTTTATGTTGAAGGCAGACTACTCCACACCTGTGTCCCTATGGTTCTTCCATCCGTATTACATGCTAGAGAGCAACAGAACAAGAATAGCTGCATTTGCATGTTTAGCCAAATATAACTGGATTAGTGTGGAAATTACGACGTTCAGAATCACACTGAAGCCATGAAATGGCAGATATATTAAGAATGTCATCTGGAAATTTGTTTTTCTTCTGTTATCTGTCCTGTAAAAAGTGCAGAGATAGCAAATTTAAATTTCTCTAAATGAGATATTAGTAAACAGAGATGTTAATGTTTGAAGTCACAGATCAGATAACAGACTATTTTTTATACAACCAGTTATAAGAGCATGTCCTTTAAGCACATATCAACAGTGACTATTTTTTGCTCTCTTATGAGGTTAGAAAAGTTGAATTTTCCTAGACCATAGAAATTGGATTAAATTAAATCTTAAGATGTTCTCATCACTTAAGCAAACAGATTTTGACTTCATCATACACAGGAATTTAATGTTAGCTCTGAAATAACACTGACAGAAACTGACCTTCAGACTAAGCATTCTTCCTTATATGTCAAAAGTCAACAATACCTACTACATGATTACTATTTTTTTAATTAATTTCCTTTTGAATACCTAAAAAGCTTTTCCACCAAGGGCAAACTCTCCACTCCCAATGGTTGCCGATAGCCCAGCTGATCCAGACGTTTCCTGAGATTAGTGAACCTTCGCTCTGCATTTGTACTCATCGTAAACACACCTCCAAAGCAGCAGCTTTTGTCACAGCCAAGAAAAATGGGACACCTGCAAAAGATTGTTGGTTACAGCATTAGTCCTTTAGAGAAGGAATAATAGAGAAAAAAAAAGTTATGGAAAAAAGCATTTTTTTGCACAGAAAACACAGTGCATAAACATGTCCTTAAAACTTAAGTAAACCAAACGAGGATCATGGAGCAACTAAAAGGTTTTAAACGTATTTACATATTTCTTTAAAAATAAATACTTGCCTTGGCAGTTAGTTTTCTTGTTTGATTCTGACTCTTTTGAATCATGGTCATCATTGTATCTTCCACAATGCAAACTGATAGATAATTCTCAAAAAAACCTATGTATTTTTTCTTTCGTATATAAATCTTACTTTCAGAGTTTACCAGTCAGTACTTAACTTATGCCAACCATTTGTAAAATTGCATAAAATGCGTACAATGTTAAAGACAGATTAACTTTGAACATTTATTTTCTATGACGAAAAACAGGGAAGAAAAGAAACCACTGGTGTAGTTCTACCTGCATCATTTTCTAGAATATACAGTTCAAGGATCAGAGGGTTGGTTTTTTCCAATTGACTAATTAGTTATCTTTTCATTACTAAACTGATCTGAAAGGGATTGGAGCAGCACTACTATATCTGAATCCAGATGATAATCTTGGTTTTGCCATGTACATCTGAGGAAGAAGAATTTTTACGTGGTTAGGTCCCTCTGGACTTAGACACGGAATGAGAAAAAAAATCAAATACCAATAAAGTTGATGTTTCTTAATATGTTGTAGGGACCAAAAAACTATATGGGGAAGATTTACTTGAGGAGGATAAAAGAATTTTCACTCAAGGATGTTTTTGCTACTGGGAAAGGCCCAGCATGGAAGAAGCTTCTTTCCCATGAATAGCACTGTATATATCTCTCTGCCTGTCTGTTTGAAAAGTAGGATTCCTGTGTAGAGATAACACAGGATTTTTGACTTCAGAATAAACTTTTCCTTAATACCATAGCTATGGCTTAGTACCCGAGGTTACCTGTGTGCATATTAACTCTTGCATACATGAAAACTTCTCTTCAATAGTTAGAAATATCTTTGAAAAATAGTTACTTTCGTAAAACATTTTCCCTCTCACTTCTTCAGAAGTTTCAGTATTAACCTACTGGTTGCAAAGACCTCAGCAGACAAACTACCAATCTGAGGAAGTGTTGTTTGCATCTCATATAAAAGGGACAGAATATAAATATCACCCAAACCATGCTCCTTCACAATCCCCTGGATTTAAAAAAATATATTAAAGAAATATATGCAGGTATTTGAAAATAAAATTATTTATTTATAATAAAATGAGAAAACATGCAAGTTTCTCTAATGTCGAAGGCTGGAAAAATTTGACCTCATTGTATTAAAACACTACAACTCTAGCAACAAGTCTGTGGTTGCCAGGTACTGCTCCATGATGAGGAAAAAATCACCAGTCTTATAACCACAGCATCTGTTCCAGGTGGTACCAAAACTATTTGCTTGAAGAGGTTCAGGATGTTGAGATATCAACTAAGCAATGGCAGGAAGAACAAACCCTTACATACCGTACTGGGATGGCCGGAGGAGGCAGTGGCACACTTCTGTTCACTAAATGGTAACTGCCAGTGCACTAAGTGGAAGTTAATGTCCTGATGTGCAGTTAATGCTCTTTGTACTCCTCTGGAAGCCAAAGATTAAAGCTAAAAGTAATAAGATCTTCGTATTTCTGCATTAATGTTGAGGATTCTCTACTGAATTCAGGAAAACAGTGATTGTTACTGTGTCTAGATTTAGGCTCAGGAATACATCTTACACTACTGCAAGAGTAAACAGATAACTCCTAAGCAAATCTTCTCCTTAAGAAGAACTGTATCAGTTAAAAAGATTACATTACTTTAAAATTGTTAATCAGATTTTGTTTAAAAGCCTGTGCTTTAGAAAGAGTAAAGTTTTTTTTACTAATCACATTGAGACAGTTTTACAGAAGAAACATCAAGAAGAAAACTGCATCACAGTTTGTACAGGAATAAAATCTTTCTGCAGTAACTGTGGAGAAAAATAAATGGACAGATGTCAGCACTCCAGAAACTCTGGTTGGGAAGTACAGACAGAATCTTGCTAAATCACTGCAATAGGCACTTAAGGTGGTGTTACCTAAACATACTCTAATACTGGGAGGTACCAACAGCTTTCTGGTGGAATCCCTCTCCTTCCTAAAGACTGAAATTTTTAATTCAACTCATTATTGCCACCGGAATCAAACAGGAAAGGGTATTATCTTACATTCCCTAGAGCCACATCTGACTCTCAATAAGCCCAGGAAATTAATAGTTGGAGTATAGGTCCCAAAGGTGTCCAGGAATTGGGGGTTGTTATTTCAGAGAGTTTAACATAGATATTAAAGTCTTCAAAGACAATAATTGTTGTACACGCTTTGTTGGAAAGAAATTATGTGTCAGTAATTCCAGACCTCTGTCATTACAGACCATAACTCAAATCTCACATCCTAAACTTAGTCTATCACTAGTCTTACTATGACTAAAAAGTATCTAGTAACTTCTCCATCAGGAAAATTTGTTTTCCTGGAAATATAAAATTAATATGTGAACTGCTGCACTGATTCAGTTGGATCCAAGACCTGTCTGACCCAATATCCCATATCTCTGACAGTTGCCACAGCAGGAGCATAAAAACCTCAGAAACATGAGTTAAATCTTATGCCTACACACATTCTCTAAGTCTATAATGCAGGGATTTGATGGGTCTAAAGTTGAACTGAAGTCATTATAATAGTACCTGATAGACCTTCCTCTGAGCAGCCATAAAGATTCGTTGCTGCAGCCTTCATCTAAAGCATCAATCAGATGCATTCACAGTGATACATCTCCCTGAGCAGCTACTGACACTTAGAGACTGTTTAACCCATTCTTTAATTTTACCAATCAGCGCTTGTCATGGCTTAACCCCAGATGGCAATTAAGTTCCACACAGTTGCTTGCTTACTCCCCCTACTCGCACAGGGATGGGGAGGAGAATCAGGGAGAAAAAAGTAAAATTTGGGGACTGTGATAGGAACTGTTTAACAATCCAAACTAAGTAAAATAATGATACTAGTAGTACCACTTATAATAATAATTGATATTAAAAGGAGAGGGAGAGAGATTGATAAAACCCAAGAGATGCACAATACAGTTGCTTACCCCCAGATGACCGACACCCAGCCCGTCCCTGAGCCGCGATCAGCCCCGCTTCCAAGTAACCCCCTCCATTTATATACTGGGCATGATTTTGTATGGTATGGGATATCTCTTTGGCCAGCTCAGATCAGCTGTCCTGGCTATGCTCCCTTGCAGCTCTTTGTGCACCTCCTCACTGGCACTGAGAAGACCTTTGCTTAGAGTAAGCACTACTTAGCAACAACCAAAACATCAGTGTGCTATCAACATTATTCTCATACTGAATCCGAAACACAACACTACTAGAAAGAAAATTAACTCTATCACAGCTGAAACCAGGACATTTGGTCTTTCTGATTGCTCTTAGGCATTGATTAGATGTATTCACAGTGATACTAACGTTTCTCTGAGTGGTTACTGCTACATTAAAGACCATGATGTGCATCACTTTGCCTTCATTAACATTGTTCCTTACCTCCCGCTTTATTACTCAGTCCAGTAAAACTCTTCTGCACCCCTTGGACTGCACTTAACACGTCCATATAACGAGTAAATTTTGTCCCTTTCTGTTTAACCCATTCTTTCACATCAGTAGTCTCTGTTAAACAGCAGACAATCTGTATGTTCACTGTAAGGTAGTACTTTCTACACTTTTTTTTAACCACTAGGTTTTTTTCTCCATTTTGAAAGAGACCTGCTTTCTTAAAAGCCTTTGATAAAAAACTGTCTCCAAAAGGTTTATTGGAAATCCACGCTTTCTACATAATTCTCAGCGAGTCAACTCAATCCAGAATATGCTTTTATATAAAGAAACTTAATATCCTCGTAACTCACAATTGAGTCACGATGAAAGGTACATTGAACTTACTAGATGTTTGTAAACTTGCAAAGTACTGGAAAGCACACTTAACAACTTTAGTATTTCCCATGATCTGCATAACTAGTTCTCATCATTCATTGTCTAAATATTTAATGTAATTTATTGCTGTTGTGAAGACAATGTAAATTCCATTTTAGATGAAAAGCAGAAAAGGGTAAATTAAATGGTAGTTTAAATTAGGCATTTCCAGACAGGATTTATTAATATGTCTAAATGAGTGCATCTTTCAGTTGTTCACTATAGAGATATTCAGAGCCAATAGCCTCATTTTCTGTTCCCCCTTTGCTCACAAAGACTGCTAAAGGTGACAGCATTCCCATGCTTATTTTATGACATACCTGGATGGTTATGAGCAGTCTTTGGAAGGCCTACATGTTTATGAAATAGACACAGTTAGCACCTGTTCCCTATTGTTCTAAGTCACCAACATCTGAAATTGAACCCTGACATGAAAGATAGGTTATAATGGAATCTTAAATCCAACTTTTTTGGGCTTTCAGTAGTGAATCAATTTGTATAACAGTGTGTGAAAGAACTAATATTAACAGGTATTAGACTAACCATTACAGGTAGAATGCGAAACAGAAAAGGTTTAGCACATTGAAGCCCTCCTTTCAGCCTGAGAACGGCAAAATTCATGGTGACTACAGGTTAAGAACTGTTGCAGATGCAATATTTGTGTTATCAATAAGAAAATGTAATAATGAAAAAAGCAGAGCAAAGGTGTATTTTGCTGTGGAAGAAATAATGCAGTCAGTGAGCTATGTGGAATACTAAACTACATCACTAACAATGGAACACAAAGAAATTACTACGGATAAATTTATATGCTATGAAATAATTTTTTTAATTGAGTCTGTAACATTAACATCAAAGACAATTATGAATAAGAGTTTCCATTTTCAGTTTTGGGAAAGACTAAAATGCATTTTTCATTCAATAGAACTTATATGTTAAAGGTTTTTTCTTTTTTTTTGCATTTACGTTAAACAGGTTTATAACGTGCTCCTGTCCTGTAATTACTGGTCACGTAGCTCATCCCACTATAAAGAGCTAGTTCTGCTTTCACCGAGGTGCAAAAGGAACCCAGTGGACCAACCATTTGAATACAACAATGCTTTAACAGGTGGCTCCAGATAGTCCATGGGCGCTGAGGGCTGTGCTGAGACAAGCTGCTGCTGCAACATCTGTTCAAGATACACCGAATGAGCCAGCGCTTGTTTTAGGAATGTCTGCTTCCAAGTGGATTTGCTGGTAATTCATTTCTGACTAGATATCCAGACAGAGGGACTCCACGACCTCCCTGGGTAGCCTGTCACCAAACCCCGTAAGCTCACACTACAGCAGACGAAAAACCTATCGATGAGGTGCCTGCTCATCACCTCTCTCCTCAAACTGGAAGCTTTGCAGACATTCCAGCAACCCCAACCTGTACCTACAAAGGCGCGGTCAGTCCCCTTTTAAACAGGTTTACGCTACCTTTCCCGCCCTCCCTCCGGCCGAACCACACTTACCCCGAAACCAGGCACTCCCAGCGCCAGCCGCTGCCGAGAGGCCGCGATGTCTCGGCGCTGGAAAACCTTTGAAAATGGCGCGCGGAGCAGCGGCCGCTTCCGCCCCGTCCCCTCAGCAACGGCGGGGACGCGCCTGCCCCGCCAACCGCCCCCCCTTCCCTGCCCGCCCCTTCCCTTCCCTTCCCTGCCCGCCCCTTCCCTTCCCTGCACGCCCAGCAGCCCTCGCGCGGGGCGTGGAACGCTTCCTGCTTTCCTTGCGCCCGGAGACATCGGGGGTCGGCGTTGGGAGAGGGGGGCGCTGCAGACCTCGCAGCGCTCCGGTAAAACCCTGACTCGGGGGACCGGCCCGTGCCGACAGCCCGGCTCCGGGAGCCTACGAGACAGATGGAGAGGGACTTTTAATATGGGCAAGTAGTGCTAGGGCACGCGGTAGTGGCTTCAAACTGTAAGTGGGTAGGTTAGATTAGATATTAGGAAGAAGTTCTTTACTGTGAGGGCAGTGAGACACTAGAACAGGTTGCCTAAGAAAAGTGGATGCCCTATCCCTGGAAGTGTTCCAAGTCCGGGTTGGATGGAGCTCTGACCATCTTGGTCTGGTGAAAGGTGTCTCTGCCCATGACAGGGGGTTGGAACTAGATGATCTTAAGGTCCTTTACAGACCAAACCATTCTATGAAATCCAGATGCCTCAGTGTTCCTGAGTTGTCATGTAGCATGTTTGTTACAAAACTCAGAAGAAAAAACTTTCTCATTCATACTCATTCATGCATATTCTTGCACCTGCATCTCAAAATCATCTTATCTCTGTCTGCACGTTTACCTTTATTGTACCTGTTTCTATTCTGTATACACCCCATCTCTGTCCAACAACTTAGCACTTTCATCAAGATGTACAGAAAACCTATGTCCTGAATCCCTGGCAGCTGAAGCTCCAGGAGGATGAAGGGCTTACATGAGTTGGGAGTATACTGATGCTAAAAGGAAGAAAAACAACACATGGAGACATGGAGCAAATCTACCTCAATGGCCAGAGACAAAACAATGGAATTAACTCTGTTTTCACCTTTTTGAAATAACACTCCACAGAAATAAAGAATATGATGAACATAGTTTAATTAGGAATAATAGCCATAGTCACATTACAACTCAGAAAACAAATTCAGTCTTCCACTGCATAAAGTTCCACATCAACACTTCCTAGAACAAGGAAGGGAAAATATTTGATAGTCTTCAATGCTTACATAATTTCCAAGATGCAAAATATTAGTGAAAACAGTAGTATCCTTTTTGCATACTAAGAAGGTAGTGCTTACTGCTTCTAGCAAGAGGAGGAATTATAAATAAAAGTATCTGAATATTAGGGGAAAGGAAAAACTATCCAAAGTGTTTCACAGAATTAATGCTTTCAAACAGTACTTCAGCCCAGTAGAAGAAAAACAAATCCCATTTCATTTTGCCTGAAAGACATTTGAAGCAGAGTGTAACTCAACAGATATGGCAGTTAACTACACATACGATTGGAAATCCACCTTTTAAAACAAATAGCATTTATAGTGTTTGAATCCCTTATACACAGGCACCTATTTTGCTAGCTTCTCTTTCCCTTTTGAGAACTTAATGAGACTGTGCAATACTGGAGCAGTAGTCTAAAATATCCTGTATAGTGAATTCCATAGTAATTCCCGATCCAGGATAGCAGCGAGCTATCAGCCCTTCAAAGTGCTTGTATTGTCGTATAAACTCATCTTGCATGGAATGCCACACAACCTGCCAAAGAAAGCAAACTTTAGGAAAAGTCAACTGGCACAATATGCTACATATGTGAACTACTAAACATTGGCTCATTAATTCATTCTCAGTTCAGGTGTCATTTTCCAGTTAAAGCTTGCTGACAAAGTTCCATAAATAGAGTTGCTGCATTACATAAAAAGATTGATGTTTTTCACCCTTTAAGATCTGTAATGTTTACATGACTCCTACCAAATGTGCAAAGCAGAAAATAGTAAAGATGAGAAAGTTTTCCTAAAAGAGGTATTGCTTTTGTGTTTCAAGAAAACACTCTGAACCTGAACCGTGCTGTAATTCACATTTCAGATGTTAAACAGCTGTTTAAACAACTCTAACTTGTAAATCTATTTATCATTTACTCCAGTAAGAAATTTGCAGAGTATAACAAAAACATCAGATAATGCAACTATCAGAAAAGATATAACTGCAAGTCTATTCTGCTGTAGTGCACCAACTAAATTTCGCATCAGGTTAACAGTGCATTTCAATCTAGTTCTCTCTACTTCCAGTATATTTTACAGAACAGAGATCACCTCTTAATGGTCAGCTAGGGAATCATAGAGGAATTTTCTTTATGAACTTTACCACCACATTTCAAATCCATGTTAAACAGAATTATAAAAATATACCCTAAAAACCTCAACTCAAAATTCATGGCTTTTTCCAGAATTATGCTGAACATTCTCATAGAATACATATGTTAAAGCAATAATAAAAATCTTCTGTGTAAACATTATAAGGTTTTTAAGTCATGATTATGGTTAGTTTACCTGAAGTAAGTTTTCTTCTTCACAGAGATGTTTATCTACCTTCTTGTAGAGATTATCCAATCCCTTCTTCACTTCCTTACCAGGATATTCCTTTATAACTTTACGAAGCTCCTGTTTATTGAAAGCCAGCTGATAACTTACTTCCTCTTCTCGTATACCTTGTGCCACACGAGCTTCAACGCCTTCAAAAAAATGCTAACAACAAATAACAGTATTAATGACTACTACAAACCTGAACTAATTAACTTAATTTGACAAGGATATATGCAGTTAAGCCTTGATTCTGCTTAATGACTGCTGTGTTACCCCCATCTTTATTTTTTAATTGGGCATGAAGTAGTGCTAAGCTATAAACAAAACACAGCCCAACAATAAAGTGCTCCAAGTACTAGCATAAAACTGAAATCAATCATTTCTAGAAGGAATCAAGCTTTTCTTCGCAACCTTTAACTAATAATCACCCTCAAAATCCTCAATTAATGAGCTCATAGCCTGGGAAAATACTGGATCTTTCAGAAAAACTCACTAAGCACCTGAGCATCTCTACTTAAACCATAATTACACAACAGCGTAGCTGTTCACAACTGCCCTCACTTCTCACTGCTGTTGACCAGTTGGCTCAACATAATACAAATGGAGGGAAGTATTTCTATGAACATGCAGGTAGAGCCACAAAAGTGCATTGGGTCTGGCCAGGACAGAGTTAACTGTCTTCATAGCAGCCCATATGGTGCTGTTTTTGGATTTGTGGCTAAAACGGCTGATAACGATGTTTTGTTATTGCTGAACAGGTCAAACCTGATGAAACCACAGTATATAACTTCATTCTCAACAACAAAAAGTAGGGTTGGAGGAGGGGGCAGGGATGATGTTCAGCTTCAAGGTGGCTCGCTCTCTTTTTTCTTTTTCTCTCTCACACACATAAAATGGATGCCTCAAAAAGCAAAGAACAGTGGAAGACATTCAGTAGGCAGAACTGAGTCTGAACCTAAGTCACCACTCACTAACACTTCACACATGTAGAGCTTTCCTAGAACTTTTCTTATTGTTGAATAATTCAGAAACTACAGTAATTTTCTCTGCAGTTGAGGTAAATAAAATGATCCCAAAGCTCCAGATTACTTTTCCCCTCATTTTTTCCTTCTTCAAAACCGTTTGCTTAAGACACTGATGTTTAGTCAGTACTATTAATTGCCATGAAAAATTTGCTTATTTTCATCCAAGACTGCTATCCTCATGAGTCAAGTACTCTTGCCAGACCTGCTAAAGTCCAAAATAATAAAATAAGAGGTTATGATAGATGCAGTGATAAGGAGATCAAATAATTCAAACTAAACATTCAAAACTATTCTGTACCATTTAAATGTATACATGAATATACTTACATTTAATTTTTCAAGAGGCTGTCCAAGTGAATAGATTACATAAGACTGAAGATGATCAGTGTATTTTTGTTTGGCTTCTTTTTTCTCAGCCTCCAGACAAGAAATTTTCAAGCGCGAAAGTGTTGCAAAAATATGATGGAAGTTCTCCATCATGACCACATCTCTGGGTGTTTTCTGGCTTTCGTTAGCTACTTTCTCAACTGAAAGAAACAGGAAGCAAAATACTTAAAATACCTAAAGGACAACCAAATTCAAAAAAACATAACCAGTAACTATAATACTGTCAAAAAAGAAGTTTTGGATTTCATGTAATTGATAAACATTTGTATGAGTAATCACCAAACTGCCACTAAATAGAACAGTTATCTGACAGCCTTCATAAGAAGTAACAGATAAATACAGGCTCTAAGATCATGAAATTTGTATGGCAAGATACAAAATAGTGCCTATGCATGGTCTCATTTACAGAAGTGAGAAACAACCCACACTCTGTGGAGGCTTACAAGCAAGCTTTCAGTATCCCTAATAAGTTTTACATGACAGAATTATTTAAGAAAAATCAAAGAAAAATCAATTCCCATCTTCAGTAGGACAAAAGTCTTCCATAAGATAGTGGGGCTTTTTTAAATGTACTTCTTAGTCTTTCAATTTTTCCTTATTAATTTTATGTTCAAAATGACTGTCAGTCCCTAAGTTTAATAATAAAAATAGATAATCCTAGATCTTTTCTGTCCCACTCCTAAAAAAAAAAAAAAACCAAAGAACCCCAAAACCAAACAAAACAACAGGCAGGCAAAAGAAATTCTATCACTCCCTTACTGCA